GATGCAATAAAATTTTGGAGGTTACTTTTTCTCCTGTTTATAATAGTTCTTTATAACATTCCAGAAAGAAGAAACACAATCTCCACAGAAAGACCAGCTTATCAATGAATTTTTAAAAAAACAAACAACAACAAAAAAAAAAAAAAAAAAAGAAACAAAAAAACAATACCAAAACAACACCCCAAACCCCCACAACTTTCTGGGCAGAATCACCTCCCACGTACATGTCGGTTTCAAATAGACTAAAACATTTAGGTATGTTAGAATGTGTTAGATGATTAAAATATTTTCTGAACCTAATTTGTGTATTTATTTGCCTTGAAAACAATTGTATGGCTTACAAAAAATGCACTAAAGGATGGTTTGTTGCTTATTTCATAGCAGAGTACTGCTGTGCCATGTAGCATTTCTATGGTCCTTAGGCTTCATGGGCAGCAAATAACCAGATTTATGATGTAGTTAGAATAGATTGTGGTTCTCATGAGATGTGACAGCTGTTGTTTTATAGTACTTAAGTCAGTGTGAAGTGACAGTCAGCCAGCTACTGGAAATGGTACATACAGGCATAAATAATATGCATCCACATGATTCCTGCAGCACACAAATGCAATAGTGTCATATTCCCCCTTTCAAATGCACTCTCCTTTGAAAATCAAGACCATTTATTGATGCGTAGTGACAAACTGCCCATTCTCCATGCTTACCCATTCTTTATGGCACAATCAACCCTTTTCCAAATGTAAAGTCTTTTTGAACTTGCAGTTTTCCCCATCTGCATCCTTTTTAATACACAGACAGATTAAATTACTGGTAAACTCACAAAAGCAAAAATAACTACCTATATCTTCTCCACTAAAGATCCACACATGAAAAAATACATTAATACCAACATAAAACAGGGGTAGTTCCTGATCCACCTTCATCACAACAGAAGGAAGATGTTTCAACAGAAGTACCACATACATAAGACATGTTTTGTAACACAGCCAAAAACATTACCTGATGCAGTCTGATAATTCAACACCGGTTCAGGAGGCAGGACCTGACTGACTTGAGTCAGAATAGCCCCATGGTAAGGGTACAATGTCAGGAGTCAAGAAACCTGGCCTCTCCTCATGGCTCTATCTGAGATTATTTATGTAACCGTGGGTAACCCAGGTCAGAGCTCAAACACAGGACCGAATTACGAGCATGTAATAAGTTACTGTGGGCCTAAGCAGCAATAACTCATGACAACTACTTGCACTCCCGTAGCCAGTGAAGGACATGTAAGCTGATGCAAATACCTTGAATCTGGGCAGATGTAAAATAGCACTTAGAAACAGCTAATAAAATTCAGTTGGCAGGAGAATAACTTCATGAAGTGCCCTATATTGATTTTGTTAGGTGCCCACATTGAAATAAATCTTTTTTTAGCCAAGCATAAATATATCTGTGGAGGTCTAAGTGCTCCAGTCACTTCCTTCTAGTATCTCTTACAGATCTTTGTTTATGTATCACATGTTAAAGGTTCTGTTTCCCTCAACACAGAAGAAATTTTGTAAAACAGTTACCTTGCTCAAGTTAGTCTATACACTCAACAAGGTAAGGGGTTTTGGGTTGTTTTGTTTTGGGGGGATTCCAGGTTTGTTTTCGTTTTTAAGTTTCAAGGTTATCATGCAAAATGCTGATCAGACACAAATTCATTCTGTCAGGGATTTTTTTTTCCCAAAAAACATTTGTAGTTTTCATTTATATCAGCATATTTTATGTAAGATAACATCTGTCAGTACCTGTCTCACTTTATGAAAGATTGGGTGTCATTTGTCATCCCACAGACAGAATAACAGCAGAAAACTAGTACCAAACCCCATACTGCGCATGTGGCTAACTCAACAGGATTTGGGGAAAGACAGGAAGGAGATTAGATTGCACTGAAATGGTTTGCACCATTTTAAAAAATGTCATTGGGTTGCAAAATAGGTTTCATATACACAGACTAAAAATCAATTGACAAGAATTTGCAAAGCAAGTAGAAACATAACTACTATAGCCATTGCTATAGGGATAAGTAGAAGGGATTGAACGGAGTAGAGCTTCTGTCATCCAAAGGAGAAAAAAATAGGGGGGAGAAGGGTGTAAAAAGGGTGAGACAAGCCATAAGCTCTGCATTCAACTCCTAGCAGAAGCAAGTTGTATATATGCTTTATCTGCAGATGTGATTATTTCATTCATGTGTATACAAGTGATAACAACTGCACTCTGACCCCAGCAACACCCAAGCCCTTTCTCTGCCCTGCCTCCCCAGCTGTCTTCAAGTTTGAGCTACCAAGAGGTAACAGAACCATCCACCTAAGCTTGGGTTAGCTGCCTGCCAGACTGAAGACCCATATTATTTTAAAACAACATTCAGTGCACAAATTTACATAATTGATCAGAAAGACTGAATCAAATTCATTTTTTGGATTTATTAAGGAATTTAGGCGAATAGAGTATCTTCTTTCTCAGCTGGAGCTCTGCATACTCAGCATTACATGGTATTCCAATGGATTCCCCTACTTCAGCCAGGTGGAGTCTGGCAAATGCTGCCACAGGACAGGGACTTCAGCTCCACTTTATAATTTGAGTTCCCTAAAGTGCCTATTGTTGCACAGAAGAGAAAGGTATGTTAGTCCTCCCATGTGGGCATAATACACAACTTGCCATTAGATCACTACCCAAAATCCTGTATATTCAAGGCTAAAAATCTTGCAAGTGCCAGGTGCTAAAGTAAAATGGATTAAAGTCAAGTGCTACCCCTCAGACAAGGCTTACTTAATCTTTCCTATTTTGCATTTAGTATATTCACTTCCATGACAATAGGAAATGAGAATAGATTATGGCAATATCATCCAACAAGTAACCATTTAAAATATATTTTCTTTCTCATCTCTAGAAAAAATTTTAGTAACAAGTGGCACCTAATAAGAGGGTTCAATGTAAAACTGGAAATTACAGTTTCAGAAGACAGAAACACAGGTAGCCCCAGGGTCCATTGGTGTGTACTACTTGATACTCTGTACTTCTAGAGCAGATTGACCTCATGCACCCTAAACAGCAGGTGTTCTGGACTCTGAAAAAATACCCTTCCCTCCACACCCCAGATTAGGCTGAAAACATCATCATGCAGCTCATCTATATCCTGCAGCACATTTGTAACACGACGTACACTAGTCAGAATTCCTCAGCTTAACACTTGAGACATTACAGGCCCACAAACAATGGGTTCATGAATTGAGCTATGGAAGGAGCCAGACACAGGCACTACTGATCAACAGCAATCAGTAGGTCCACTGCACCAGCACTGCTGATCAACAGGCCAGCACCCCTTCCTAGCTCCCTATGGCTGGAGAGCAGGTGTCAGGTGAGCAAAGATGAGTCAGGCACCTCTCTCTTTCTCCTCATGGATACCTTTGAGAAGTGCACCAGTTTTTGCCAGCCCAAAGAAGCACACAACTTAGACTCTGAAAAGGCCAGCAACACAAGTCAACACAACCCTCCATGCACATACGCAAAAAAAGTGAATATATATATGCCAGTACTAAGTGCACATTCATTCCATGGTGGTCTGCCCCAGAACAACTGCTTGGACGAGATGATCCACCATCCACACTTACTGTCTCAGAGCCTTGGCAGAATCCTTCAGTGACCCCTAAGGACTGAGCTCTTCCACAGCGCCTTTTGGTGTGACTGCAACCACAGTAGCAATGACACAAGCAGTAATGTTCATTTCAGTGTTATTGTATTTCTTGAAATCTAAGCACTGTTGAATCACACACCACTGCTTAATAGGTAACACACCCAAATAAAACGTCATTTTCCACGGTGCTTAAGTGATGGAGCACATCACTTCAAAGCAGTTTTGTTGGGGTTTGCTTTTTTTTTTAATTATATTTTTGTGGGTTTTTTGTTTTTGAGGAGTTTTTGGGTTTTTTTTTTTTAAAACCAAACAGGAATCAAGCATGAAGTACAGACTGAACCTAGAATTGATTCGGACTTACGGCAAAAGAGACTGACAGTCACTGGATATCACAACTGCTAAGTGGCCGCTACAAAGCTGGTCTCTGCCCTGTCTCTAAAAAACAGGTGCCCACATGACAGGAGCCAGCAGCACGGCTGTGTGAATCACTCACTACCACAGGGTAGACCAGTCAGGCTCAACCACAACAGCTGCCAGAGCCAAACAATCCTCCACACAGCATTTTATTCTGAAAGGAGCCCCATACGTGGCACAGCGAAGGTACTCTATACAAGGCTTTTGTTGCAAGTCCAACAGACACTTCTGATGTTTTTTTCAATTTACAAATAACTAAAAAAAACCCCACACTGCTCACCATAAAAATATAATGTGGATCTTATGTTGTTTCCAACACATTTAATTCTCAAAACCTACATTTGCATTATTATGATGACAGATTTGCTTAGGTTCCAGGAAAGATGGTTCTAATGAGAAGTGGTCAGATGAGCCCTACCAAATCCCGAAACTTTAATATACTCCACCTTCTAAAGATCAGACCCAGAAAACAGGAACTTTCAAGCAGAGTCAACTATTGAATCAGAACAACAGCACACTGACCTCGGCTTCAGATTTTCCACTTCCCTGTGGCATTCCAGGCCAGTAAGCACTGGACTGCCCTCTCACACCTCAGCGGGGCAGTCAAAGCACGTGCTCGAGGCAGAGGCTTTCAGCTCTTACACCCACTGCCTCTCAGAAAAGTCCTTTTGCACAGGCTTTTTTGTCTGCATCATTTACAGGCATAATGCCTAAACTCCAACCCAGTCCCAACATCTCCAAGAAAATATAAAACAGGTCAAATTGACTCAATTTCTTTCCACCCCTTCTGCCTGCCAACCCCACCATCTCATTCAAGGAAAATGCTGTGGCCAAAACCTTCCATAAAATGCCAGCACCACACAAACCACTTGATTTAGGTTTCCCTCTACACCCTGAAAGAAAAAAAAAAAAAGGAAAAAGACAAAAAGACAAGTCACACCATTAATTTTCACGTTTAATGTAATGGCACCCTAATTAACTTTACAGTACTTTCATCTCCATTAGATACTGTGTTTCAAAAGTATAATGGGGAAAAAAACAAACATGGAAAAAACCCCACTTTTTTAATAAAGTTTTAAAAACTAAATCATTTGGAGTTACATATGCATAAATGCCTTTCAAAAAATTGTGCCTAATTTTATTTTTCACCCTTACATAACAAAAACCGGTTTTGCTGGGTCTTTTGACAAGAGCTCGAAGAGAGCTCAAAGATGGCACTTAACAAACACTGAAGTCAGGGGTGTCACAAGGTTATACCAGGACTTCCGCTGGAGAGCCTGCCATGAAGCAAACGCTATAAATAGGAAGAGAATGTGCAAGAGCTCCGAATAAGTGAGAAGCACAACATGTTTTGCAAGCTTGTGTTCTGAGAGCCGTGGAACTGAAGACTCTTGGCTGAGGAAAGCCTGCCCAAATTTCCCCAGCTAAGGTCTGTTCAAAGCACACCCATCATAGCAAACCACAGGGACAGCCATACACTGGTTTCTGCAATACTCCTGACAAGTTTTCCTTTGGATTTTACCTGGAATCAACACCAAAACAAGCAGGAAGGTGATCTGGAGAAGCTACAGGACTAATAGGAAGTATTTGTTAGTTATGCCATGACAAGTAACTAAGAGAAATAATACAGAAGCAGGTTAAAATAAGACTAGGCAGAAGTCTTTTTAAGGTGTATCAGCTAGAAAACTAGCAACCTTATCAGTTGCTAGTTTTATCAGTTTCATACTTTGACTTTAAAGAAAAACAAGTACACTTTGTAGGAAGTTTGGAAGATTCTTAAATAAGGGGAAACTAGCCTAGTATCAGCCAACGACCCTTATTTTCACCTAAAAGCTTAGCCTGAAAGATGGTGAACTAATACAGTACCTTAAAAGACTTGAATTTTGGGGGTGGCTGTGTTTCCTACAATTTACAGTGCTCATTTTAGCTTTCATTCCTCTAATCCAGGATTAGGGAAGGGACCCAAGTGAACTGCTCATTCTGCTGTTTCCAATTTATTTTTTTTAATCAAGACAAATATTCATTAGACTAAGAAAGGCATTAACATTTTACCTTTGCATCCTGCTTTTAGAGTTGCCTCTCACCTCTTAAGTTCCAGCAGCCATCATCCCCAAAGGACATTCACTAATACTCTCTTACATTTAATACTTAATATTTGTGAGAGAAAGTAACTCAGAACTCTAAGTTAGTAATTTGTTCACTTGGATTGCCCATGTGATATGAGTCAAGCAGATAGTTTGATTCATGCACAGGACTGACAGGAGTATGTTAAAGAAAATAAATGCAGAAATCTACAAGAAATACAACTTTCAGTTCAATTATATATTAATTATACAGAAGAAACAAAAATCTCTACTTACACAGAAAAAGGGTGAAAATAACACACTCACTTCAGCACTTTTCCTTCTATAAGAATATTGCACATTCCGATAATGTTGCACAAATTACTGGCTTTTTATAAAGACCATATATGAGGTATTAGTCTATTAATAAATAAAGAAGAACATGGAAAAGGAAAAGCACTTAATAAAACACAACAATCCATTCCAAGTACTTAGTGAATGAAAACTGAACAAGCAATAATACTTGAGGGGAAGGTTACTTAGCAAATAGGCAGCTTTCAATACCCATCCAAGAAGCAAAGGGTTAAATCTCTTTTAATAAAGATTTTAAGAACTCAAAGACTATTGAGAACACTGCTTTTTCAAATGCTTATTTTGCTCATGCAATCAACCTGAAAGGTAAATTCTTATCTCATAATTCTAAAGAAACAGCAACATGTGGGTGACAGTAATCTTACTAAGGGGAACCAATTTCACATACTAGACCTGAATTACTAGTTAAGAATGAAAGTAGAACTTTTGGGTTGACATCAGCTAAAGTATTTGGGGGTTTTTTTGTGGGTTTTTTTTTATGTTTGTTCGGGGGCTTTGAGGTTGTTTTGGTTTGGGGTTGGGTTTTTTTTTTTTATTTTAAGTAGTTTTCACTGGTTGTGGGTTTCCATGGTGCTGAAATCAATACCCATTAGTACTGTCCTTATTAGCATTTTCCAGCTCCACAAGGAATACAAGGATTGGAAGTTTCAGTTTTTCTCTGTGGTTAAGCTAAGAATTTACCTTTCAAATCACAATGCTGAAAAACAGGTAATAAATCTGTCAATCTAAACAGTATCTACAATACCTACATTACTTAGACCCTTTCAGGAACACCAGGAAACTGTAGGCAAGCTTAACTTATTTAATTTCACTAGAGCACTGAGGAGTATTTAAGTTCAATAAACTGAATTATGGAAACTGCATTGCACACATGGTATAATAATAATAAGCATAAAACAAGAGTGTTTTGGGTGTGCTCTTCCAAACCTTGTTAGAGAGATATTTGTAATTTGGAAGGGGAAAAAAAAAAAAAAAAGACCTTGTATGCACACAAACTTACATACATTAATATACATTAAGCAAGTCAAGGATCATTCAAATACTACGATCTTTTCAGGTCAGTGAAAGGCTATTAAGAAATAAAACTAATTCCTACATCACTCACAATCTTATTCCCTCTTGTTATTTTCCAACTTCAAAAAGAAGGTGTTTTATTAATACTTTTGCAATGGTGGAGAGAGTAGCAAAGACCCAGGCAAGTCATATTTCTGCTGCTATTTCGTGTAAATCATCGAATTTGCACAGTGAGTCCACATCAGGTAAAAACTGCAAGTGCAAACTTGGAAAGACACAACTGAAAAAAAAGCAGCACTTAAAAATTAAAGTATCTCCTCTGCTCCAATCCATGCACCAGTAACACAAACAGTCCTGAATTGGCATATATGAAAAAATTATATTACATTTCTGAAATGAAAAATATATATATCTTGTGTTCAAATTTAGGGAAAGTGTTTACTAAACGGAAATACATATCATTTTTTTCTTTGACATGAGAACATTTATCTCCCATTCTAAGTAGTTACTGACACATTACTTCCCAACTGCACGTTGTTTCTACTCTGAAAATTAGTTTCAAACTACTGTAAAGAAATTGTAGTTAAATGTCCTTTAGAACAAACAGTTCAAAGACTTTTTTCCATGTTAGCACAAAACCAAGAAAGATTATGAAGATCTTGAGAAAAGAAGAAAAGTTTAAAGGAAAGGAAACATTATTGTCCAGAACAGTCGGTGTAAGTAGTAACCATGTTTCCTCGTCTCTGAGTGACAGTCCTGCAGTGCTTGCTGGATCCATGAAACCTGGCATCAGTTCTCACGGCGTGTCGGTGAGCGTTCTCAAAGTCACTAAACGAAAACATTTTTTCCATATTTTCAAACACATCATCAAACAGTCCACCTCCAAAGGAGAACTCTTGGAAAGAACGTCTTTGCCGATTGTGAGCTTCCCGATGACTTCGGAAGTGATTTTCAAAGTGCTTTTTTGATCGTGAGTTTTGACTAAATAGGTCAAAGTCTTTGAACAGATCATCAAAGTTGAAATTAAATGACTGATGGAATGGGCTTCCCTTATTTCCTTGTCTTTCATGACGGCCAAACTGATCATATTCTCTTCGTTTATTCTCATCTGATAATGTTTCATATGCTATGACCATTAAAAAAAAAAAAAATTAAATTTTCATTTCCATTTTAAAGAAGAGGAAAAAAAGAAAATGACACACAAATACAAAGCACAGCAGCTTCCTCCCACTCCCTCAAAAGGACGAATTTCAAGCAAGACTTTCATTCAACATTCAAGCCCAATCAAGCTCAACATTTGTTTACCTTTCTCCAAACCAAAATAAGTTGTCTCAGACTAGTTATTTATAATAATAAACACAGCTATACTATGAGGACAGATCATAACCTGAAAATTTTAAATTCACGTAATATAACATATTTAGCTACAATAAATATTAGTGTTTATGTTTGAAAGAAACAATGAGATGCTGGGATCAGAAAGACTGAAGCGAGGAGGATGAGTTAGGAGCTCTACCTAACAAAACAAACTGTCTGCTGCATTCCTATCACAGAAACACAGTGCAATGTCTGCAAAACTACCTGCCAGCCACCAGCCAGCACATTCTAGCTACACCACAGTTACAACTAAGCTACAAGATAAACATCAAGTAGATAAAAATAAAGACAATGAATTTCCCCTACATTCCAATTCTCTATTTTTCAAAAGTTCAACAATAAATCTGGATTTTGTGATTAGAATCATAGAATAGAATCAGTTGAGTTGGAAGGGACTTCCAAGAGCATCAAGTCCAATCCTTGATCCACTACCGCCGTGGCTACTCAATTGGATATAACCAAAATGGAACCAGGCTTCCCTCCAATCTTTGGTCCACAACTACAGCTACTGGTGTTCTAGGGCAGAAACTCAGACAAATATACCTATTCTGATAACTAAGTAATTTAAACACTTCCATTTTCTCATCTGTCAAAGGCTTTCAACTATTATACACAATTCAACACTTAAAAGAGTCCCTAATTCCTCCTTTAGTAGGTGCTAACAACTGCAGTAAGTATCTAACAGGACTGTCCCTCCCTCTCAATATATTACCAACTGCCTGTCTTCCGAAATAAATTTCTGCAGACAAGAAGGTAAAATGCAGAAATCTCTTATTAGCTGAGTTAGGAGAACTACACAAGTAGGTGGAAGTTATAAGAGTCCATGGGGAACAGAAGCGGGTACACCTTATTCTTTAGCAAGTCTTTTTCTATTCTTGATTATTCACTTCCACCAGTATGTTTTACCACAAAATACTTATGAATGGTGTATTCCTAGGATCACAGGATAGTTCAGGGTAGAAGTGACCTCAGAAGGTCACTACTCCAACCTCCTGCTCAAAGTAGGGTCTGACTAGGTTAGTTAGAGCTTTACCCAGTCATTCATGGAAAGCCTCCAAGGTTGGAGACTGCACAGTCTATCTAAGCTATCTGTTCCAACACTGGCCTGTAGAACAGAATCACAGAATTGCTAAGACTGGAAAAGTTCTCTAAGATCATGAATTCCAATCACGATCCTCAAGGTGAGAAAATTTTTCCTTATAACCACACTGAAACTCTTGTGCTGCCACCACGAAGCACTGAAGGACGCTGCCACATTTTTCTAATCTCCCTATAGTTACTGCAAGGTTGCTGTTAGGTAGCCCTGAAGCCTAGTAGTGATCCTGAGCTGGATCTTACAAAACAGATCAAAAGATAAGAATTAACCTCCAAGGGCTAAAGCTGTCCTACTACCAAGTATTTTTTTCTGAGAAGAGGTGTAAGCCAAAAAGCCTAATTAGCAGAAATGTATAAACTGTGTTAAAGGCCTTCCTATGTGTAAAGACATAGACACAAGTCAGATATTGATGTTGAATATTTGACAGCACAGAAGTAGAATTAAGAAAAAAAAATATCTTTTTGCCTCTTATTCAGTAAAACCAGAGTACACTTAAATTCTAGATATAAGACAAAAAGTTAGTGTATATTACCTTCAGCAATTTCTCTAAATTTCGCTTCTGCACCAGGACTCTTGTTTTTGTCTGGGTGGTATTTCATAGCCAGCTTGTGAAATGCCTTCTTGATCTGGCGGTCAGATGCATTTTTTGGAACCCCTAAGATATCATAATAGCTCTCTGTAGCCAGTATTAATTCAGTTATCATTAAAATGCAGAGAGCAAATGTGAAGACAGATTGCGTAGTGGCCATTTCTCCAGTTCCTAGAAAGAAAAAGAAATATACTTGAAGAACAAGTTATTTCACATTCCACAACAATTTAAAGTTACAACTACAAGCTGGAAAAGGAGGACCTGTATGTTTCAGAAGTCAGTGACAGACTTGCTTCACCTGTCAAACTCTATTTGGCTGTTTTCATATTCACAGACTGTGTAAGTGAAAACACTGCAAACTCACATTTCACATGCATCTCAAGCACACTTGAGTGTTCATCTTTGTTTTACTCTTATCCTTAACTGAACATTCTCCCACAAAGTTACCAAAGTAAATATACAATATTATCCGTTGCATCAAACATTTTAAGCTGGCATACCTGAAGTAGTTTCATACTAATCCTTGAGTTCTAGGACTTCTAAACACAGCAGCTCTAAATTAAGACCAAGCTGCAAAAACTCACTCAATACTGGAGACTGATTAGGTGGTGCAACAATAGGAGCCTCAAAATACAAGTGGCCTAGAGATCAACTGTGAGGTGCAGGGAGATATTAGACTATTAGACACTAGTGCTAAGCTTCAGAAAGTCATTTAACTAACCTAAAGCGAACACTATAAAGAGTAAATCACTCATTTAGAGCACAGAGTTCAGCCAAGTAGTGCTCATTTTCCTTTACTTTACAATGGACTGGACTAAGCTTATTTTCATATTAGATTGTAGTATAAACACCTACTATATCTTCAACATCAAAGAATTCATCTGATAAATACCAATGCAAAGAAAGGTTTACATATGCAACTCTCAGTGTTGGAACCAAATACAAAAAAGAAGTCTTCCATACAAGACAAGCACTTTCAACAATAATTAGAAGTTGTAATTTTTTTTCAGCAACGTATCTGTCCAAAAGTGACAGTTTGAAACAAACATGCAAGAACTTAGGGGAAAAGCTGTCACATAAATAAGTCATTAAGAAAAAATTAGTTCTCCATAGCCACACAATCTTCCATGATATTTATGAGGGAGAGGGTGAGCTCTCCATACCAGAAGGAGAGACCAGATAATTTTCCAGGGCCTGTGCATATTATATTTAAAACAGAGAGTGCAGATATGCAAATGTTCAAAGACAGAATGCTGTTTGTCAAACCAGCACGATGTACAACCAAGCCCTGAACATACCAGACATAACATATCCCCCTCACCAGCTTACACTGATTTGAGTGTAACATAAGAACAACTTGGAGACAAATGGTACTACTTTTCTGTAAGCTGAATAAACAAATTACAGTCTGAGTACCATTAAAGTTAGAATACTGCTATTACATAGTGTAAGACTCAAATATTTGTCATGAAGAGTTCAAAACCTTTGAGTACAGAGGCAAATTAAGCCTTTACCTGAAAATCAATACTCTCTAAAAAAAAATAAACACCAAAACATCAAATATGGAAAAAGTATACTGTTTCTAATAGACAAGTCAGGGGGCTAAAATGAATGCTGTGAGGCGAGAGCAAAAGGTTTGCAAGATTAATGTACCCACGCCCTCTAAAGCATTTATTTGGCCAGCAGCCTGCATGATATCAAGTGTTAAGGGACAGCAGTTGAAACAAACTGTATTTTGATCAGTGTACTTAGATACCAAACAGACAGTTCTTTTCAGTATTCTTTGTGCACGATACCAAACATATTTTTAGTACAAGCCTTTCCCACGTATTATCTCTCACCACTTCACTAACCTGAAACTTTACCCCTTGGGCACTAAGAACTACACACATTACATCCTTCCACACTTTTTGGACTTTCTTCCTTCTGTGCTTTATGGATGCAGATTTACATGTTCATCTCATACCTGAGATTGTTTTTATTTTACTTCCTTTCCCCACACCTGCAACAAGCTTGCACCATCATGTGCTGCATTCTCTTAAGGCCAACCATCCTGCTGCTACTACTGAACACTGAAAAGAGCTAAAAGGGGCAGTTCACGTTCTTCCTCAAAAGTAAAATTCTCTTTTATAACTCATGAGAGCCTGAGATCATGAAGTCACTCCTTTTACATATTCTGCTCTGGCTAACCATCTCAACTTCTACTATTCTTGATAACGAAACACACCTAAGTGTGTCTTTTTCTACAGTTTCACATTAGGATTTCTGTAATGCAGTTCTTTTCTGTATTAGATTTCTAAACTGTATTAAAAACCAGTACTTAAATTTCACTGTTTTTTAAAACAACGTACACAGATTTAACACTGCCTTTGAACAAATCAGTGAGACTCGAGAATAAAGTAAGAGTCAAATGAAAATCAAATGCAAATGAAATATGCCTCCAATACAGGCAGCATTTTGAACTTATAAGGTTATCAGAGAGACAGAGCAAGTGTTATATTTAGACATTGCCAATTATTCGATTTACTTTTTAAAAAACACCTATTTTATATGCTGTATCTTAGTGTTGCTACTGTTAACTAAGATGTTAAATGCTTGACTTCAGCCCTGCCATTCCCAAATATTTCTACGACCCCTTTCAAAATAAAATCTCTTTTAAATATTTACTCTGCTTATGTCTTTTCTCTGTTACTTTTCTCAATTGAAAAGAGACAGGTAAGTTGCACTTTCATGGCCGTGCACTGTAGTTACTTAAACCACATTCCAGAATTTGTTAAGCTCTCTACGAATTAAGCTCATGCCACAGAACAGTCTCTTCTAACAATTATGAAGAACTACACTTTATTTAGGTACATCTTCCAATGAAGCTAAAGATCTTATTCCACAGATTACCTACTTAACTCTGTTGGGTAAGTAGTTACAGATCTCAACTACTCTTCACCTCAGTATAAGAAGTGCATTGTCTAATATTTATCCAGAGTATTGCAGGGGTGATAACATTCAATCAGTTCATTATTAGTTTATCAACATCTATCAATACTTGTGGGATCAGGTGATGTTTCAGGATGATGTACGTCGAATAAAGTCTGTCACATCCAGAAAATAAGAAGCTACTTACACCTTCGAAAGTAATTAACAAAGATCTTGCATAAATGCTTATATTCAAAGCCTCACACACTCAAAGAACCCATAGCATCACTAGTGCTCTGCCACTGCTCTGCTTACAGGAATTGCCATGCACTATCCTGTGGAATGTTCATGTCCTGTAATTATTTTTGCAAACAATTTATTTACAGTAATAAAGTTACCAAAGTCTCCCTCTGGTTCTCCTATCACGACTAACCCGATGAGTAAGCAAGTCTCCACGTCCTCAGCCAGCTGCAGGCAAGCTGTCAAACACAGGGCCTTGCACTTGTCTTGGCCTCTCCTATACTGACCCGAAAACAGATCTGGGAGAAGGTTCCTGAATTTCGCTCTGGAACACAGGGAAACGGAGTGCCGCTGGCATCATCCTGCCTATCCAGACCTCTGACGAACTCGCAGGAGCCGGCACAGCCAGCACAGCGACACAGCGCCGGGCCGGGGCCGGGGCCGGGCAGGCGGTTACAGCCTCCCCGAGCGACCCTGTCCCACCTCCACGTCGGCCAGGCTCGGGAAAGACCCCCGCAGGCGGGCCCAGACGGGCCCGAAGGGCAATAAACGGCCCGCACCGAGCCCCACAGTCACCTCCCCTTTCTCTCACCGCCCCCGAGCACACCTCCAGCCGTCCCTGGCCCCTCCGCGCCCGTCTTCGCTCCAGCCCC